ACTCCAGAAAATAGGCTTAGGATACAGGAGGATCTGGACAGACTTGAACACTGGGCGCTATCTAACAAAATGAAATTCAATGGTGAAAAAAGTAAGGTTCTACATTTAGGTAAGAAAAACCAAATGTACAGGTATAGTATAGGGGGTACCTTGCTCAATAGTAGTAACTGTGAGAGGGATCTTGGAGTCCTAGTGCAGTGGTTCTTAACCTGGGTGATATTGCCCCCCAGGGGGCAATTTCATTTTTCAGGAGGGCGATGGAACAAAAAGGAGGCGATATGGGGGCGATGGAGCGAGAAGTTTTGGGAATACTTTTGAGACTTTTTTATACAGTGAAACACTGTATGTCTGTCGTACAAAAACATCAGATCGCTCACTATTAGTGGATTGAATTGTGTTTTCAAATGTTCCTCCAGCTAGCTTCAGTACAGAACCCATACATATGTGAATACGCATCCCTTATCTTCATGCGCGTTGCGCAGCAGCCTCTACCCTTTTTATATTATTTTTTTTTGCGTCTTAAATTTCACTTGTAATTCAATCATTAAATATTACTGTTTTTCTTTTCGGGCATTTCACTTTCTTGCAATTGAATTTTCTTTTCAGTGGTCATTACATTTAAGTGTCTTGAATAAATAAGATAATAATTAAATACATGTATCACGAAGTTTGGGAATAAAGTGACGGGTGGCACCAAAATTTTTCACACAGTTGAGATATGGGAAAAAGACTGGAAATAAATTATTTGCATCGATATGTTCTGATGACAATTTTAAAGAAAACAAAACAAGTGTTTGCATAAATTGAAGAATTATTTCCGATGTTGTGATTGAGAGGTTACGCTGGGGGAGGGGGGCGATGACAACTTCCTCATTGGCTCAGGGGGGCGATTTGTTCAAAAAGGTTAAGAACCACTGTCCTAGTGGACAATCATTTAAATATGAGCCAGCAGTGTGCTGCAGCTGCCAAAAAAGCCAACACAGTTGCTGGAATTGGGTATGTCTACCACAAAGAAGAGGGAGTCAAGCTATTTTCCAAAGCACCTGAAGGCAGGACAAGAAGCAACGGATGGAAACTAATCAAGGACAGAAGCAACCTAGAACTAATGAGAAACTTCCTGACAGTTAGAACAATTAACCAGTGAAACAATTAACCAGTGAAACAATTAACCAGTGAAACAACCTGCCTCCAGAAGTGGTGAATGCTCTAACACTGGAAGTTTTTAAGAAGAGACTGGACAGCCATTTGTCCAAAATGGTATAAGGTTACCTGCCTGAGCAGGGGGTTGGACTTGATGACCTCCAAGGTCCTTTCCAACTTTATTATTATTATTATTATTTTGGATCATCGCACAGTCAGCCAGATGTTCAGACTGGATTTGGCATTTTGTCTACCTATCGAGTCCTTACCCAGGACCTGGGATAGGCAGATGTGGATGTTTGATGGTATTACAGATATCATCGCAGGATGGAAGCAGTTCCTAGTAAGGCCGCCTTTTGCAATTGACTAATAGCGAATTTGTCAATGCCAATGGTGTTCAAGTGGTGCTCCAGTTGTTTTGGGATTGCACCCAAGGAGCCTATTACTATTGGTACTACCCTTGCTTGCTTTTGCCACAGTCTTTCTATTTCTATTTGTAGGTCTTTGTATTTTGTTATCTTCTCCAGTTCTTTCTCGTCTATTCTGCTGTCTCCAGGCACTGCCACGTCCACTATCCAGACTTTTTTGTCTTTCTTATCGACAATTGTTAAGTCTGGGGTGTTATGTTGCAGGTGCTTGTCTGTTTGAATTCTGAAGTCCCAGAGCAGTTTAATTTTATCATTTCCTATGACTTTCTCTATTTTATGATCCCACCAGTTTTTGCTTACAGGCAAATGATATTTTTTGCAGATCTTCCAATGCACCATTGTTGCTACTTTGTCATGCCGCTGCTTGTAATCAGTCTGTGCAATCTTCTTGCAACAGCTTACCAAGTGGTCCACTGTTTCTTCAGCTTCTTTGCATAGGCGGCACTTACTGTCAGTTGCTGTCTTCTCAATTTTGACTTTGTATGCATTTGTCCTTAAGGCTTGGTCTTGTGCAGCCAGAATTAGTCCCTCGGTCTCTTTCTTCAATTTTCCTACTCTTAGCCATTGCCAGGTCTTGTTATTATCTGCTTTCCCAGCTATTTTTTTAATGTATTGGCCATGTAGTGCTTTGTCTTCCCATGCCTCTATTCTGTTCTTCATTTGGTCTTTCTTGTAGGCCAGTTTGGTCTCTCCAGTAGTCAGTAAGCCTTCCTGATATACTAATTTCAGTGCATCTTCATCATTGTTCTTCAGATATTCTTCCAAAGCCATTTTTTCTTCTTCAACCATCTGATGTACTTGTAGCATTCCACGCCCACCTATTTGCCTTGGTAGATAAAGTCTATCAATGTCAATGCGTGGATGAAGGGCATGATTCATTGTCATTATTTTTCTGGTCTGCCTATCCATACTATCAAACAAGGAAAAATAGTGAAAACTGAAGGAATCAAGATGCCCCACGAAAATAACATTAAGAGTCTGGATGAGGAAGAGTATTACAAATACTTGGGTATCCTTCAAGCTGACAACATCAAGCACACTGAAGTCAAGAAAAAGATTAGAGGTGAATACATCAAGAGAGTGAAGAAGATCTTAAAGTCCAAGCTCAATGGAGGAAATACCATAAAGGCAATCAACAACTGGGCAATTCCAGTCATTAGGTACACAGCTGAAATAGTGGCCTGGACTCAAGCAGAACTAAAAGCAATGGATAGGCAGACCAGAAATATAATGACAATGAATCATGCCCTTCATCCACGGATATGTCTAGTTTAATGAAGAGAAAGATGAGGGGGGGACATGATAGCAGTCTTCCAATATCTCAGGGGCTGCCACAAAGAAGAGGGAGTCAAGCTATTCTCCAAAGCACCTGAAAGCAAGACAAGAAGCAATGGATGGAAACTAACTAAAAAGAGAAGCAACATAGAACTAAGGAGAAATTTCCTGACAGTTAGAACAATTAATCAGTGGAACAACCTGCTCCAACACTGGAAGTTTTTAAGAAAAGACTGAAATGGTATAGGGTTTCCTGCCTGAGCAGGGGGTTGGACTAGATGACTTCCAAGGTCCCTTCCAACATATTGTTGTGTTGTTCTTGTTGTTGTTCTTTTGTTATATCATAACCATATCAAAATTCATGACCATCAAATCTAGCACATACAATGGTTTGGGCAGTTACAATAATTATATTAGTATAAGCTACAGTTCAAATTCTGCAATTATGAATCAAGCAACTGTCATTTTCTATTTTTAATTAATAAAGAAAAATTTGCAAAAAAGGCCAAACTTGTCTTCACAAAACCAGAGAGAAACACACTTTCAGTAGTCAGGGATTCCACAAAATTCTGATGTTGAATCAAATGCTATTCACTAACTGATTTACTATAATATCAGACAAGTATGAAATTCAGATAAGCTAATTTATCACAAGAAAATATCCTCAAGTCAGTTACTCAGATATAGTTGTCCCTTTTTTCCCTCCCTCCTTCCTGATTTAAAGGCAGTTCCTTTAAATCAGGAAGGAGGGAGTTGGAAGCCTAAATGCATAACACATTTCTTTGACTGAAAAAAAGAAGTGTGAAGGAGAAGGAGTTGAGGCCATTAAATTTTGTCACATTTTTGAGCTAACGGGCAGAAATGCATCTTCTTGCCAAATATATATCACAACAACTATACCTAAGTGTAATTAACCCGTGTTCTAAATGGGTCAGGTTCTTGTAAACCATCTTGCTAGAAGCAGCTCACAATCTGTTATGGATGATTAAGTGGAAGAAAAATTGCACTGCAAAAAAGGAGACAGAGGTGGAAGAAGGAAACAAACAGCAGCACAAGCAACAATGGCTTAAGCTAGTTCATAATAACCGAGTGAGACAGCAGATGGGTGGCTAGCAGACAAGAGGTTAATAGGAATTGATGAAGCATCAGATAATGCAAAGCACATGACAATAAAAATGCATAAACAAGTGTCCATAAACAACTTAACCATATAGGATTAAAACAAGGGTTACTGCTGCCCAGTAGGCACAGGGGCTAATTATTTTGAGGGACTTTGTGTCTCTTATGGTTTCTGACTGTCCTGTTAGAACTGAGAATTAGGTCTCTCTTGGATTTGAAGATTAAGTAATTTCATCTATCAAGACATAGGAAACAGGCCCTGTCAGTTGCCCCACCTGCTGCTTGAACAGCATCCCCTCAAAAATTTGCATGACCCCCACCTTATCAGCTTTTAAAAGAGCCTTTAAAATATGACTTTTTGTCCCCCAGACCTTAGGTTAGAATGCTTGGGGGGGGGGTGAGTTTCTATTTCTGTTGGGGGAAGCAGATGTCACTATCTTTTGGGGCTGATTTTGATTTTATTGGTTCTTTATACTAAACCATGCAGAATCACTGGAGTTGGATGACCTAGAAATTTGATTATAAATACATGAATAAAAACTAAGGGGAAAAGCAAGCAGATACCTGTTCTATGCACATAAGGTTGATACCATAAGCCTAGATAGTGGAAATGTAGGTTAAAATAAAACAATAAATATATGAAAGCAACTAAAACCAAGCAGGATGACAAGAAAAGTGCCCCAATATAAAATAGCTGAAAATACGTTAAAACTGTCTCTCTAGTTATTGGTTGCATACCTTGTGCACGTCTTTTTAAAGAGTGGTGCTACAGATATAACAATAATAAAATAAGAAGTAATTTGACAACATTATGAGACAGATCAAGTAACCAGAGAAGAAATGAATATTTATGTAAACTCACTCTAAATTTTATCTGCAAGTTTTAGTTTCTAAAACAGATCCTGTATAAATGTTGTGCAAAATCTTGATTTTGAGACATTTTCCTGTTTTTCCTATCTTCTCATCTAGGCAATCACTTAGCATGTTTGTTTAAATACCAATTATCCTTAAAAAGTTTTTAAACTGAAGAACACTCACCAGATTTGGAATATAGCACCAACACATTATTTCGTGTTCTCAACAGCTTTTTGAAGTCCTTCTGATCACTAATTTTTTCTATCAGGGGCGACATCTTTGATGGTAACACACATGCTGGAAAGATACCCTGCAGTGGCAAGATAAAAAGAAAAATACAGGCACATTTCAAAAGGAAATCTTATTATTATTATGAACAAATTCTTTTTAACCTTAGCTTCAGAAAAGGGCACATGCATCTGCTTTGGACTCCTTTGTAAATGAAGTCCTGAGGAAAATTGTATAGCATAGCAAAAAATCCAGTTCCTTCTGTTGGCTGAGTGCACAATAAATGAGAAATCCAGTTCAGCCAAACACAGTTGCAGTGTTCGCACAATATGTTATGCCCAAACAAATAAAGGTTATTATGTCTTAATGTGAACCCAAGCAGTAAGTTGTTTTTTGCCCTCTCATGCATACAGTAAATCTGAACTGTGAGTGCAAAAGAATGGAAAAATAAGAAGTGATAAACACTATAAAAACACATTAGACCTACAAAAGACTCTTGAATTTCTGTTCTCCTGTCTCACTGCTGCAATTTCAGTTCCTAATACCAAAAATACTAGATAGCTGTCTGCTTAAGAGAGAGGGATTCTTAAATAAACCAAGAACTACTAATATTTCATTCACTAGGGAATGGCCTGATGAGAATCATTATTCACCATTTTCACAGGTCATGCCCACTGCTATTCTCAAAGTACACCACATATTTGCAACATATAGCCCTCTATAAGGTATCCATTACCCATTTTGACTAGGGCTGCTGGGAACAGGTTTATCAGCATCTGGAAGATCGATCATTATCTATTCTTAGGTGCAAAGATCTAATATTCTTTCTTTCTCTCCCATTGCTTAATGTTAATGAAAGTATGAGAGTTAACTGGGCTGTTCAGCTTTTACATGTGTTAACAGCTGTTCTGTCAGTATAGTGAATCAAGTTTATGGTTGATCACAGAGCTCTCTCAGCTCAGCTGCCAAAGCAGCTACTAATATACTTTTTCTCTGCTATAATTGGTACCTTTTTAGATATCTATAGCTCATTATGGGAACCCCACCCCCAATGCTCTAAGAGTCGAAAGTCTTTACCATTACCAAGGCATATATGGGGGGGGGGATAATATTTTGTTAATGGCAACACATACACCAGTGATGGCGAACCTATGGCACGGGTGCCAGAGGCGGCACTCAGAGCCCTCTCTGTGGGCACGCACGCCGTCGCCCCAGTCCTAGGCCTTCAGCTGGGTTTTATAAAATCTTTTCGCTTTCGGCCTCCGTCACCATGTGCAAAAAAAAAAAAAAAAAAAGGTTCAATCAGTCAATTTCAACTTCTCGTGGGGAAAAAAAAGTTCTTGCAAAGTTGGAATTGATTTATTGAACTTTTTAATCCCACCCAGTCTGCTGTTACCACTGCAGCCATGCCCACCCAATTGGATAAACCCGGCCAATGGGCCACCCCCAACCAATGGGCCACCCCCACCCGGCACTCGATGATGCATAAGTGGGTTTTGGGTTGCAGTTTGGGCACTCAGTCTCTAAAAGGTTCACCATCACTGACATACACACTCCACAGTTATATTTATTGAATATGTGTGCCATCAACACCATAGAGGCAGTCATTCTCTCTCTTATGCTCACTCAATAATTAAATTAAATTAAATTAAATGTTTACTAAAGGTCCTCTCCCACAGATTGAACATGCTTTTTTGGCTAAAAACATTGCCTATTTTTATTTTACTTGCTCAGATTATGCTAAAATAGCCTTCCTCAGTCTGAGCATCCTCTAGCTTAGTGTTTCTCAACCTTGATAACATGCTGGCTTGGGAAGTCTTGGAGCTGAACTACGCTTACATTAAATTTGCCAAGGATGAGAAACACTAAGCTGGATTATGGATTTCAGCAGCCAGAATTTTTAGCAATAGCCATATTGGGTTGGGTATTCCATAAATGAAGTCCACACATCTGGAGAAGATGCCCTTACTGTGGAAGGCTGAGTTGGAACTGTGTATTAAACAAATGATTTTGTATTTCATATATGCTGTTCTTGTTTCCAGTATTAAATATTTGAATTATTAACAAAATATCCTCCATACCTTTTCTCCTGACTTTCATAAAGGTCTCTAGTTAATAATTTCATGGATTACAACTGAGCTACTGTACATAGCAACTTTATTGTTCACCTGCCAGAATGTGGATATCATGGTAAGATCATTCTTAACAGAGAGCCCCTCTAGCAAAATCAAGCCTAAAAGCAACCCTAGCCATGAACTAATTTTTTAGTGAGATGATGATGACCACAACCTACTTCTTGGTAAACTAGAAAAATGTGGATTGACAGCATCACCACCAGATGGACTTGTAACTGGCTGACAAACCATACTCAATGAATAGTACTTAATGGTACTACATCTACATGGAGGGAAGTAAGCAGTGCAGTACCACAAGTTTCTGTCTTAGGCCCATTACTCTTCAGTATCTTCATAAATGACTTAGATGAGGGAATAGAAGGGGGTTTCATCAAATTTGCAGATGACACCAAACTGGCAGGAATAGCCAAACTCAGAATCCCAAAAGATCTTGACAGACTTGAACAATGGGCCCTATCTAACAAAATGATATTTAACATGGAAAAAAGCAAGGTTTTACACCTGGGCAGGAAAAACCAAAGCTACAAGAACAGATTAGGCAAAACCTGGCTTCAAAAACAGTAACTGTGAAAGGGACCTTGGAGTCCTAGTGGACAATCACTTAAATATGAGTCAGCAGTGTGCAGCAGCCGCCAAAAAAGCTAATACAACTCTTGGTAGTATCAACAGAGGCATAGAATCAAAATCACATGAATTATTAGTACTGTTTTATAAAGCCTTAGTAAGGCCATAGCTGAAACACTGCATCCAGTTTTGGTCACCACATTACAAAAAGATGTTGAGACTTTGGAAAAAGTGCAAAGAAGAGCAACTAAGATGATTAAAGACCTGGAGACTAAAACATATGAAGACCGGTTGTAAGATTTGGGAATGGCCAGTCTAGAGAAAAGAAGGACTGGGGGGGGGACATGATAGCAGTATTCCAGTATTTGAGAATCTGCCACAAGGAGGAGGGGATCAATTTATTTTCCAAAGCACCTGAAGGCAAGACAACAAACAATGCATGGAAACTAATCAAGGAGAGAAGCAACCTGGAATTAAGGAGAAACTTCCTAACAGTGAGGACAATTAACCAGTGGAATAGCTTGCCTTCAGACGTTGTGGGTGCTTCATCACTTGAGGTTTTTAAGAAGAGACTGGACAATCACTTGTCTGAAATGATATAGGGACTCCTGCTTGAGCATGGGGCTGGGCTAGAAGACTTCCAAGATCCCTTCCAGCTCTATTATTTGATTGATTGATTGATTGATTGATTGATGATATCTATTCAGTCATGCCCGACTCTTGGTGATTCTATGGGCCAGGTTTTTCCACATCTTCTGATCCTGCACTACTTCTTTGAGTTTTTCTATGCTTTTCAAATGGTGTCAAGAGTTGATGGTATCCAGCCACCGTGGTCTTTACCGCTAATTCTTCCAACCATAATTATTTTCTCCAGTAAATTTCCCCACATGAGATGGCCAAAGTAAGTGAGATGCAGTTTCATGATTTTGCCTTCTAATGACATAACTTGTTTTTAGTGAGACTGTAGTGACATAAAACAAGCAAGCCCCACTTATTTATCTGACAAGATTCTGAAAGAGATCGGAGATGTTTGTGCTGAATTTGTTTATTAGGCTTCAGATAGCTGCAAGCAGGCAGGAAGTATTCAAATGTTTCTTCTCCAGCAGTCATCCGGATTTAAAAAAAACCAACCAAACAAAGTCTATTCCGGTGGAATTTTTCAGAGAAAAGTCCTGTACTGGCGATCTGGGAGATGCTATTTCCTTTTTTATAACACAAATATTTTTGTGTTAACTACTGAATGTCACATCTCTTTTTACAATAGCTACAAAATGCAATCAAAGTACAGTAGAGAGGTTGGACTGCTCTATCTACAATGCAAGTATTAGGTGACTATACCTGTCTCTTCCTATTCCTTATCTTTCCATTTATTTCTCTTTTGTCTGCTATTGTTACCAAACATCCTGAATCAGAGGCAAGAGTAGACATTGTTGGCTGCTACCCCAAAACTATAGAGATCCTGTTATAGGAGCCAGTGTCCACCCTATTATTATATTCAGTGTACTGTTCAACTCTTTTTATTTTGCAAATATTTGTATTTTCTGCTCAGTGTGACTTTTAAAGCAATTGCCTGATATATTGGTTATACGTTCTGATGGTTATTATATAGGTTATATAGTTTGCATTTTATACCTTAATGCCATCTCATAATTAACATGCAGCCCCTATTTTTATTATACTCTCCCAACATATATATAAAGACAAAATGCATATTCAATACTACGGTACATAGAAAAATAAAAAATACTCCAATACTAAGCATTTGTTATTCAGTGAAATGGTATGCTTTATTTTAGCCAATGGTCGATATATACTAAGGAATATAAAAGTAGGTGTCAGTAAATGGCTCAGTATCTTATCATATATATATTATATATTACTTGTAAAATTAAACTATTAGTCCCAATATATTTGTAATTTAACTTTACTCAATATATGTGAAAACCAGAAAATTAATCCTTGAATTGATGACTAGAATACAATGGATAATGTTTTCCTGCACAAATTCTGCACAAATTCTTTTTTTTTAAATTTTGATGTTATGATTTTGCCTTAATTTATTAAATTTATATGCTGCCCATCGCACAAAGTAACTCTGGGCAACTATATATTGTGCTCACACAGTGGGCTGAAATAATAATTATCATTTATCCAGGCCTATTTGGTTATAATTATACCACATCAGACCTCAAAGCATAGCCTTCAATATAAAGGCACATATATTTAGCTATAACAATAGGAAACAATAATATAAAAACAGAAATCCGCAAAATTCTGAGAAAATGCCTCAATCCCACATGGAACCTCATATGTATCCTCCAAAAGAGGTCCACCGAAGAACTGGTACTCACGGTGCCCCACTTTTGAGAGGTGAAGGGGGCTC